TGTTACTGTTCCCCCACATGCTTCGTGTCTGTCCACGAACAGACACGAACACGGGGTTTCTGTAGATCGGTGCGAATCGTTCACCGCGTCCTACAGCGACTCAACATTAACGTACAACTCCAGCATGAATTTGGGTTTACAGAAGCTAAATAAAACATTTACTAGGAGATTCAAGCTCACACAATAACCTGGTTTAGTTTGTTGTTAGCGATAGCATCCTTATCATACAGTGATTCTTGAGAATAGGGACAAAACAGGTCCTATGGATAAAGCACAAAAATTGAATAAAATATACACAAAATATATTTTTTTCAAATATCTGACTAAACTAACCTGGGTCATGTGAGTGTAACCGGATCTTTTTCTTCGTTGTGCTGGTTATTGAGTGAATCTGTCAAGGCGGGATTCACCGCGGTGACGTAACACCGGCTCTGACTCCAGCCGGCCCAGCACACAAGTTCGCGGTCGCTCAAGGCATTATGGTACACCCATTTACGTGCTGCTTTCACAATAAAAGCGCACATCCGGTCCATGTTTGAGCTACTCAGATAGCTACCAGATCTGATGTGTAATTTCAAAATAAAAGCCTACCAAAAATCATTTTTTATCTTTTCCCCCTAAGTTGCCGTGCACATTGCTGAGAAACTCTCTGTTTCCAAAGACTCCTTCCACTTCTGGGTGATAGAGGGGCACCTCTAGAACTGAACCAGAAAGTTGCAACTAGATCTGATGTGTAATTTCAAAATAAAAGACCATTAAAGTAGTAGTTTAGATCTATTCCACCGAAGTTGCCGTGCACATTGCTGAGAAACTCTCTGTTTCCAAAGACTCTACCACTTCTGGGTGACAGAGGGACACCTCTAGAACAGAACCAGAAAGTGGTTCTGTTTTGCTTTGGTTTGAACCGGAGAAATCCCCTTCCGGACCTCCATCTGAATTTTGCGCATCATCCAGGTCAGGTGACTGAAACCCAGCAATATGAAATAAATAAAGTATAATATTATGGAAAAGTTTACTT